CAGAGGATTTAGTAAGTTATATGTATATATGCTTCCATTTTGTATGAGAAACTATTTTGGTATCCATTACAGTCCTGCGCCCGCTATGGGAGCTATTACCCATTAGCCACTTTTCCATTTTTACTTGAGCTTAATTGAGATAGATTTCTGTCCCTAACCCAGAAAAGTCTCATTTGGCTATGTTCTACAGTGGCAAATCTGTTCATTATTATCTCTATTACAGAACTGTATTACATCAAAATACGCCTTTGAATTTCTTCCTTTTAGCTCACCATCTTCTCCTTCATCCTTGTCTTGTATTTTCATATCATTTTGTTGCCTTTTATTCTGTTTGGTTTTCTAAAATAATCTTAGACTTCTGTTTTGTAAGAGCCATGCCTTTCAGGTGCTTCCTTCCCTCCGCTGGAATATTCAATGTGGCAGGCAGTCCTCTAAATCCTTGATGGGGGACAAATTCACTGAATCCTTCCCCATCCCTCTTGTGAATTGTTTATACTCAAGAGAACTCCATCTACATTCAATTCTATGCTTGGAGCTATATTTTACAGCATCCCCTTCCTTAAACCGTGAAGAGACAGACTTGCCTAATAAAATGAACTTCCTGTAAGAGTTTGAAGGAAGAAGTCCTCTGCAGGCACAGGCAGACACAGACACAAAGGAAGCCATCTTCCAGCAAAAATCTTACTTTGATACCAAGGGGATGTGTGACTTGCTGGGATGTAAGTTAATGAACTAGAGAAAAGCAAAGCCTTCATGGATTGCCCTTGAACTGACAGTGAAACACTAGAGATTCAAGGAAGCAGTTGATCCACCATACCTCTGGGAACCAAGGGCCCATACAAGTGTTTGGACCCTCAAGAAAAGAAATCTCGCTGGGCCCCAGCCAATGCCTGGCCTACTAAGGAGATTAAAATAATTCTTGGTGAGAAGGATCTAGACAAGAGAGATTGTTTCCCAAGTTTATGGAAGAGAAGCAAGCAGGATAACCTTTATCTATAATCTAAAAGGTCATCGTGGAGCCCAAATTCCATCGGTCCCAAGGAAACCTCTTTTCAGCATCTTAAATTCCCACATTATAGCAGCTCTCCAACTATCATCAAATGGGGACTGGAAAGTCTGTTGGTTTTATGTGTGTGTGTGTGTGTGTGTGTGTGTGTGTGTGTGTGTATGTTTGCACATAGTAAGGCAAGCTGTCTAACACTAAGCTATACTCCTACCCCAGAGACCCCAAATTTAATTATGTTTAAATATCTAACATTTTTACAAGACAATATAAACTTACAAACACAAATAAGAATACGATCTGATGTTATTCAGCAGGCAGGAAAATTTCCGATCTTCAGAAGACCACGTAAAATATGGAGTGATGTCTACAACAATTTATCCCTAGCACCGTTGTCATTGTATATAAGTCATTTTATAACTGATAAAAGTTTTCTTCCTTGTGACTTAACTTTATTCCTACCACAATCTTGCAGAAAGAAGAGCACTAATGAGCTATCACTAATGATTCTGTCTGTGCTGAACAAAATACTAATATATTCAGTTTTAATACTGAACTCTCAAACACTATTATTGTAAGACACGTTGGGAAATCGCACAGAGCCATAATTGCTTTTGTGGTATCATTTTACTTATTTATCTTTAAGCCTTTTCCCTTTCTGATGGAACAGAAATTTGTCTACTGATAAGCTTTTATTAATTTTAAGACAGTAGATACATCATTTTTGTAAAGTGCATTAAGTCTCTTGTTTCCCCATGCTGAATATTGTTTTTAATACACATTGAGTTGATTGTCAATATGGAGTTTTGGAAGAGTTTAACCATTCTGATTTGTATAGACCACACCACTTAGAAAACTTAAGATGGTAGTTGGAGATATGTTTGACTTGCTTCAGAACTATGGGGCTTCATGTCTCTAATAAGATTGATGAGAACTAATAATGTAAGAGGTTTCCATTACAAGTCCATCCTTAGGGGCAAAGTCACAGGAGAAAATACTCCAGTGTCTCTAATTACATTAGAAAAATTTGGCAGAGATACATCTCGTAAGACACAAAAGGATTTCAATTGGCCGTTTTCAATCTTTTTATTTTATGATGATGGAATTGAAAAAATAGGCCCGGGAACCTTTTCAATACGTATGCCTTTCTGAACTAAACACGTCTGAACACTAATTTCACGTTGACTTGTAATTGTTTCAAACTATGGTATCAACCTATACTTTCAAATCACCTCTTGAAAAATTAGAGAAGGACCAAAAAGGTCTGATATTTTATGGAATGGCTCTTCTGTAACATTTACATATATTACCTAATTTACTACTTGAGGGATCCCTTAGAGAGAAGGGGGAGATAAATATCGCTGAGAAAACTAAGATTTAGAGATATTAAGTAACTTGTCCAAAGTTATCACACAATATATATGGCAAAGCAAGCATTTTGGTCTCTATCTGACTCCAGATTCCTTTTCCAGTACAAGCCATCGTGGAGCAATTCTAAGAAACTTTTGCCCCCTCCTCTGTCATCAATGCATTTCCTGAATGATACATAGGCCTCCTAGCTCTAGAACATTCTGCCTCATAGAACTCTCATTATTCACAGGTGAGAATTTCGCTGGGCAGTCGGACTCCTCTCTTATTCTCCTCACTAAAGGCCTAAGATAGAGAAAGATGGCAAAGAAAACTTACTCCCTTTGGCATACTGATGACTATTCTAATAAAAGGTATGACCAGATAAGAAGCAGAAGTTAAAAAGTCTGGACTTTAATTGTCCATCCAGTTTGAAGCTCTTTAAAAGGTCTTACAAAGCTGACTTGATTTTGGTAGGAACATTCAAAAAGAAAAAGCAAGCCGGAAGGAAGGAAGGTAGGAAGAAAGGTGAGAGAGAGAGAGAGAGAGAGAGAGAGAGAGAAAGAGAGAGAAACAAACAAACAAACAAGGCTTTGGACTTCCACTGCTTACAGGTCAATTGGACTTACCCAGGAGGGCATGTTTTTATTGTCAATTAGGTCATTTGTAGCCAGAGCTCTAGGTGACATTGAACATTACAAAAGGGTAATTCCCTGCCACAAATTTCTTCAGGCTGAAGTTTTCTGGGAGATAGGGTTTTATCTTTTATAGAGTCTGTATAGATCCACTCACTAAACAAACAAAAAAAGTATGTTCTCTCTTTCATTGTCGTTTTTCCAAGGCCAGTATTGAAATTTCACACTGCAGAGACAACAAATGTATTATTCTGAGTGGTTTGACTCTGGAGGCATATCAACTACTTCACAGGTAAGAATACAAATATCTTTCTCACTTTAAATCTGAGCAAATAGTCTTAAACACTTTCTAAATCCTATTATAGGTACAAACTTTGCATGTAAAAGGTTGAGCAGAGCTGGCAGAAGAATGTAAGTAAACACATCTTTCTCCCATAAGTACACAGCATTGAATGGAGGAGAAAAGGGCTTTGTATGCTATTCCCTCAATCCCTCAATCAAAGACCTTTTAAAAGAAAAGGCAGAGTTAAAATAATAAGCCAGTTCTATGATAAGGAACTTCTGTATTTGAATTTCATTGACTGATAGTGTCAGAAAGGGTCTCTCTGGAATCTGTGTCACACCAGCCCCTCCCCAATTACCCACCCTCCCCCACCCTCTAACCCTCTGCCTTTTATATGAATTCAAAGTCTCTTCAGCATGGAAATCGTGGGAGCTCAGCATGTCTCAGTTAGATTTTTCCCCTGCAGGGCATCTGAATACTGGTGATAACTTAGTTGCTCTTCATTTTTTTAAAAAAATATTTCATTTCAAATCTTGACATCTCCTGTGGCCTTTAAGAGAGAAGCAGCTGGGTCTGACAGAAAGAACAAACTCTGGAGCTTGATTCCTTAGTCTTATTTTCTTCATCTACAAAATGGGACTGAGCATAGGGCTTTTGTGAAATTGGCAAGGATCAAAGTCTTCTATACTGGGTAAGCGTTATTATTATTACAGTCATTCTGGAAGCAAACAATACTTATTACAAAGCCTCGCCTTAAAAATCTCAGCACTGCTAATACTTTCAGACATGTAGCTCCTAAGTTCCCATATCTTTGGTGTTCATAAGTACCAAATATCTGGGTTAGAATGTCTGTCACTCCATTTTTTTACTAACATGTTGACTTGGTTCAATTTGATATCAAATAACTGTGGTCATCCTCTCTGCACATCTGGGCCTTAGAGACCCAGAGTTGGTAAAGCACCTTCAGAAATAAAGGCTAAGTGGTGGGATAGACCCCGTGTGAGAGTGCCAGGAAATAAGCATGGATTTGGTAACAAGTGTGAGCTACCATATCTGACTGCTGATCAGGTTCTTGGTGGGTTAAAATCAATGAAGAGGAAGTACTTGTCTTAGCTAGAAAAAAGAGAGAAAGAGAAAAGGAAGGGAGGGAAGGTGGGAATGAAAAAGAAAGAAGGAAAGAGAAAGGAAGGAAGGAAGAGAGAGAGAGGGAGGGAGGGAGAGAGGGAAGGAAGAAAGGAAGGAAGGGAGGAAGAAAGAAAGATAGAAAGAAAGAGAGTGAGAGGGAAGGAAGGAAGGAAGGAGAGAGAAAAAATGAAGGACAGAAAGGAAGGAGGGAAAAACAGAGGGGAGAGAAAGAAAGAGAAATGGAGGGAAAAAAGAAAGAGTTAAAAAAGAAAGAAAGAGCAAAAAGAAAGGAAGGGAGGGAGGGCAGCAGGTGCAACTTTGCTAGTGTTTATGAATGATTCTGGGAGTCACTGATTTTTTTTCCCCACAGTTTCTGCTATTCTGCATGGGAGGCCATGATCTACTGCATCAAGTTAAAGATACAAGTTAAAGACATTTAACTGAGCTTTAATGACAATCTTCAGAATAACTTTATGTATCTCTAACTGATTAAAAATGTAGGTCTTTTTTGAATAGAATCATGTTTTAATTTCAACCAAATTATTCTCAGACCCAGTGAGGATTTATTAGAGATTTCTAGAAACATATGTGGAAGGCTCTCACTTACATTACTCTGGTGTCTGCCCACCTCCATGGCATGCTTGACCTCTGGGGGCTCCTTCATGTGGGCGTAATCTGAGAGTCCTTTGGCAGCGTCATGTTTCTGCTTGTAGGCAACCTTAAAGCACACAAATAATTATTAGTTCCATTCAGAGGCATAGGAAATTCCCACCTGTTAAATTCCACTTTTTTTTTTTAACTAAGATTCTATAGATGTAACTACTACAGCTGACAGTTCAATTTTCCTGACCCTCTGTAGCAAGACAATATACATGAGGCTATCACTCCATGTTCAGTAACCTTCAATTTGTTCAAAAGACACAACTTCCAAATTTAGTCACCTAGCTTAAATAGTGCCAACAGTTTTAAGGGACCTTCCATATCTGAGGGCCTTTAGGATTGTAAATATTCAAGGTTTAAATACTAAGAAAACAACTGACCAATGGGAAAAAATTCCAGAATATTAAGTAAATCATTTGTTTTTAAAATGGAAGGTTCTGACTGGGAGACGATGGTTCACACCTGTAAAGCTAGCTATGTAGGAGGATGAGTTCTGGGGCTTGTAGTCCAATGTCAGTCCAGGCAGGAAAGGCCATGAGATTCATATCTCCAATTAACCACCAGAAAGCTGGAAAGGGAGCTGTGGCCCAAGTAGTAGAGTACTAGCCTCGAATACAAAAGCTTAGAGACAGTGCCCAGCCCTTGAATTCAAGCCCTTACAACCAGCACACACACACACACACACACACACACACACACACACACACACAAAAGAATAGATGTAACTGAACTCATAAAAATTGGTAATGAAAGATTAAGAAGACAGTAATCAAGTTATCCCTTCATTCTCAGTTTACATCATTATCTTATTCAGATCCTTCACAATCCTTAATTACCCTGTTTAATTCTTGCAGAATATCTTAGTTTGTCTTCCAATGCTAAAATATAACAATTTCCTAAACCCTCAGCGCCCAGAATAGTTTCTCGGAAAAGATGAGCATCAGTAAATATCCACTCAGTGGGGTAATAAGCAAATGAATAAATAATTGAGTGAATGAGAATAAAACAATAATAAATGAAGGAAGGAAAAGCAAACTCAATTTCAAGATAGATGAAGAGATAATAATATTAAATACCAAAAAAGAGTTTAATAATGAAAACATATTAAGTGATATTGTAATTATTTGGCACAAAATAATAAATGGAACTTAAAAAGAAGTACTAGAAGAGTCTTTACAAGACCAAACAGGTCTAGTTTTCAATGAAAAGAATACAATTAAACTGAAGAAGAATTATTCACCAATAGGTGCTACTATATCTTGCACATCTTTTAATATCCTGTGTCTATCATAGTGAATGACACAATAGGAATTCAAAGTTTAGTGAATGGACACAGAAATGAGTTTATTCAACATTTGCATATGCTTATATACCTCACAGGTTTTTGTAAACAGAATTAACCATCCACTTAACTTAGATGATATATCTATCTAACAGATGGAGGAAATAATTATAAAACCATTTCTTTTACAAATAAAGCCATTGTCCCAAAAACTGTCCTAAAAAACTAGCCCTAAAAACACATCTTGTACAACTATTAATCGCTAAATCCTCTGTCTTGACTCTCCATTCAGCATTTTTCTAAGAATTTTTCAATGTGGAACATCACTGTCTCTAAGTTTGGAGATCTCTTGTGGAAACAGCTCTCCCTTTAATCAAACCGCAACCTATCTCTGCAGATATGAATTTATCTGGCCAGATAGAAAGAACCTAATTGCTAGCACAGAACTTCCAATGTGGGAAGACAGCCACCAATGACTTCATCTGAATGGATTTAGAAGTTGAACTCTTGAATCTCCATGAGGATCCATTTAATCCAAATCCCAATTTACCCACTTTTTCTTTACAGTCCCACAATGGTCCAAATTAGATTCGAATTATTCTTATTTAATCCAAGTCATCATCTTCCACCTGCTAAATGCTACCAATGCATCCACAGGCTCTTCTCCTTTGGATGACTATGTTGAGATTTCTGAAAATTAATGCCCTGACTTGGTTCTGTCCAGCCAGGTGACCACATGCAGTTCTGTATGCCTGGCTCATTACCAGGACACAAATGTAGCCCTGTGCATTACTCTAGGTATAATTCATCATGTTACAGTACAAGTACATCGATGTACTCCACTGAGATATCTAATTCTGATAAATGTATCTGCACATTTTCAATAATGACTTATATGAAGCAGGAAAATCTGAAAGGGTTTACATATGGTTGAGAAAGGCAATTATTTCAGTTCCATTGCATTTCATATCTATAACTCTGAGGGGCAGAGGGAGAGAATTTTAATGGATGGCTAAGTCTTATAGCCAAAAACAACAACAACAAAAAAACCCCAAAACTTCCATGTGATTTGTTCTTTCTTCTTAAAGAACTAACACGTGCCAATCTTCCTTTTAATGGATGCCTGGTGTATTTTGTAATTTAGACTGAATGTCATACTTCAATGTTATAAACAGAACCAAGGCAGAGGATCATTTTGTGAGCTATCACAGAAATGGTGACTCATCGAGTACAATTTTAAAAAGCACTCTTTCTTAAAAAGGCTACATGATTTTCTACTTGCAGCTTTAAAAGATAGTCTTTTCATTTATAGCTGCTGCTACTAAATGGCTACTTTAGAATGGAGACGGCATCAAGGAGGTAGGTGAATTCTCCTTTATCGTATTAACTTTCTTCCTTAAAATAGCTAATGAAAAATGCTGGCCAAGGTATAAATTTTCTGACAAATTTGGTGTCTTGGGGTTTGTCCTTATTATGTGGCATTTCTGTAGAATAAAACTGCTTTCTTCATACTTTGAGAGCTCAGGTTGCTATAGTACTGGACAGCTAAAGAGTAGAGAACACTTTGCAAAAGTTTATATACTTCATATAAATACTGTATGTTAATAAATATGTTTATATATTTCACTTCTAGATTGTTATGCCTAACTTACATCCATGTGTGTATGACATATGTAGCTCCTAATGGTGCTTATTAGGCACCATTAGGGAAATGTGTTTGTAGTCTCACAGCACAGACACCTGTGAACTCCTGAAACAACCTGTAGACAGTATCGATTAAAACATAGATGCATAAAGCTGCCAGTACTGATGCTGAGTATCCTACATCAGTTCTGTGAGGAGGAGTACTTGGACCTGGCCTGAAAACAGCTCTTCTGAGAAGGAGTCCATCCATCACTTCCAGGCAACATCCACTCCATCCCATTTTCAAGTTCAGTTGAGATCTTTAGAAATAGGCAACAGTGACTTTTAAAAAGCTATTGAAATGTTCTCTGCATGGGGATCATATGTGAAACCCAAGAATCATTTAATAGTTGCTGCAAGAATGTCACATCTATACTGTCAGAAAGAGATTAAAAATGGCTCTTGAGTGGGGCTTGGGAAAAAAGCCTTCTGGGACTGACAGAGACTTCCAGGCTCTTTACATTTTCTGCTGTTTCCCCAGTGACCACTGAGGGACTGAGTCATTTCCGTCTTCCATTCACTGTTACCCAAGATAAACAACATTTTCCAAAATGCTAAGGAACCTGTATGAGGCACTAAGGCTTGAGCCACACGATCTAACCATAGGTGGGAAAACTCACCTCACTCTGAAGCTGCGAAACTTCTCTTGCAAACACGCTGTCAATGGTCTCCGGCATCCGCTTATACAGAGAGTTGCAAAGCTCAGCCTTAATGTTGCCTTTGTATTTTGTCTAGTGGGGTGGGGTGGGGGGAAAGAAAAGAAATTCACCTTAGTTTTCTCATTGTGAATATAAAAAAGGAGAGGGAAAGGCTATAGAAATCTTCAGGCCAGACTGTGCTGCGATTGGTGGGTCATGCACATCATCCCATCCATCTACAGAAGAGGTATGGATAGAAAGATGGAGGTCCAGGTCAGCACTCTGCTAAAACATGAGACCCTGTCTAACAAATAACTGAAAGGTCTAGAGGCCTGGATCAAGTGGTGAAGGGCCTGCCTAGCAAATGCAAGGCCTTGAGTTCAAAACTCCAGGACTCTTCTCATGTTCATGCAATCTGTAGGCCATTTAAATTTTAGATACTATACCTGATGAACATATTCTGAAGACATAGAAATAAATCCTATCTATCAAAGATAAAGTTTAAGTGAGACACACAAGAATATAATAACTTTTTCCATTTAAACCTATGCACATTTCTTTAAAAAAATAAAAAATCAATCTATGTGTATTCAGTTTGGAATGTTAGATCTGTGAGCAAACAATCAAGAGAATAATGAGACATTTGAGCTGTTCCAGAAAATTAGAACTTACTATCTAGTCCTGAAGGCAAAGAACATAAATAACTAGAATCTGGGTAAAGGGCAGGGACAGGGTAATACTAGGAGACTGGTTTACAGGAACCAAAACACAATTAGATACAAGGTAGTATGTCTTTGTCTTTTACAGTACCATGGGGTGACATAGTTCCAACAACCTATTACATATTTTACCACTAGTTAAGAGAGGAGCTCAAAGACATCAAATACAAAGTAAGGATAAGGAGACAGAAACATTAATTACCCTAGTTTGATCACTACATATCATATAGATGTACCAAAATATCACATGGTACCCCATAGGTAGGTATAATTATGATATGCTAATCATTTTTTTAATTTTTAAGGAAAAGGAAATGTTAACTACCCTGATTTGGTCATTAAACAGCATTTCCATGTCTAGAATTATTGGACTGCATTCCATCAATCTGCAGGTTCAAATCATTTTTTTTAAAGAAATGCATTCCTTTATTCGAATTCTCTCAGCCTCCTGTAGCCCAGAGAAAGAGCGTGCTTGTTTGTTATGAGTTTGTTTTGCTGGATCTGGATAAGCTCAATCATTACTTGAAAAGGCAAACAATCATCCACCATGTCCTCCTGGGAAAATTAGATCCAAAGGAACAAAATGGATCACCCAATTACAATTTTTTTTTTTCTCAGCAGCTAACTCCATCAGGAAAATTAATCAATCATGAGTTCCAGATCGCCAAGAATTTCTCTGCAGAGGAGAAATAACATAGCTAATCCTCCCATCCCCCCCAAAAGAAAAAACAATGTTCTTTCATGTTCTGTGGATGAAGCCTGTGTCCCTCCCCACTCACAGCCTGCCTTGGGTGGTGATTTATTGATCATATATTCCATGTAAGCCTTTTGTCCCCACAACTCTAGAAAATGGACTGATTTCCTCAGCACTGTTTCATGTTCCCGGATAATCTTATGAAGATCACAGGTTAATCTTTTGCCAGTGTATAAAACACTAGAGATCAAATCATCTACAGTGCTATTTTATTCATTCTTTTTTTCAAGTTTCTTTTCAAGAGTAATGCTTCAACATAGAAATATTGTCGACATCATGCTTTACAATGCAACATAAACTGCAGTTCTCAGTACACTCAGGAAGAGACTACATGTTTCTTTTCAGCTAGAAAATGAAGGTAGTATATTTTATTTTCCACTCTGGGGTTTCACAATGGATATCTCTGTAGAAATGAATTTCAGCCCACTCAAAAAGTTCTAACTTAAAATTATTATCAACAATCATATTTTATAGAATATACTGCTAAAATTCACTGATTTCCAAAAGGGTACTCACTTGTTTATCTCTAATATGTCCATTGGGAAAGCAGTAATTTAGAACTTCTGAAATTATCTACATTGTCAGAGCTTACTACTTACTGAATAAAAACATCCTTTATTCAAGAGTAATTCTATATAACTAAGAAAGGGCTGGAGTCAAAACCCACATATATAATATGATAATATATAGTATATATAACCAGGTATATTAATATCAATCATAGACAATGCTTTATATTTGACCAATATTCATTGGTACTTTAAAAATAGTCTCCATATTTAATGCACAGACTTCCATGTATATAAACACTAAAAGGAAAAACACAGTCCATTTTGCAAGTTTTTGAAACCTTACCTCAGAAATAAAAGCACCAATGTTTTTTACATGGTTTAGCATGGGAGTATCCGTCACAAATGTACATTTGTCTTTGGACTTTTGATACTCTTCTTTATAATGGATCTATAAAAGAGAATAATTAGCACAAGGGAGAAAGAAGAAAACCAATTGTTAATAGTCTGAACAGAGATTTAAGTCAACTCATAAAGTCTGTTTTCTGAAACAAATACATAACGTGGGATAAGTCTCAGAAACACCAAGTGGATACATAGAGACCCAACACAGAATTGCACAGGTGAGGAGGGAGGACTAAACTTTAAGCACCAGTGTAGTCCTGGGGATGCACCTGGGTATGTCAGGCTGAGGCTGTGGGTCCTGTCTGTCCAGCGTGACCATCCAATGAGCTCCATCGCTCATAGGTGTCCTACTTCATGCTACTTCTAAGCCACTGACCTTCACAGTTAAGTCTACAGGCAGGGAAAACCAGAGCTGCCCACCTCAAGGCAGAAAATAAGTAGTTATTAGAACAGATGTTCTGCATTATGTAATAAAGGCAGAATTAAACAAATGGTGTCCATCCATGTTAGATTGGAGAGAGACATTTATTTAAACTGCTGGGTCTTTGAGTTACTAATTAATTCCCTCAAATCAAACACGTTCAATTTATGAGTGCCCTTTGCCTTCCCTACCCTCCTCTCCTCCCCAAATCTGCCCAAGCAACTTGCAAGGTGGTACAAATCATTACAGAATACTCCGCCTTGCTGTGAGCAAGCAGATCAGCAGAGAAAGACCAGAGGGGCCTAGATGAACATGTTCATTTGTTTTCACAAACTTCCAGATAAAATTTGGCACTCTCTTCCCCTTGTGGAGAGGCCAGGACACGTGAGCAGAAAAGAATCAGGAAATATGAAGAAGGTCCTTACAATGTCACCCTGCTGGCATACCTACTGCTGTGTAATCTAAAAACTGTAGCGGTGAACTTTGATAAGTCACAAGGATGGAGGTAATTTGCTATAAGTTATAATATCCTGTAATAAAGTCATATTTATCTACCCTGAACTGTAAATAAATACTTAGACTGGAAAAAGTGTCCCAGTTCAGATGATAAATTATATGGTGTTTCTAATTAACACTCAACAGTGGCATTTAATTGTATATACTACCAGGTTCTTAGGGGATGTGATTAATATTGATGTTTTGTGCTAACATTCTGCGGAGATTCTCCCATCAGCAAACCTGATTTGAGGGACATGACTTGACCTGAGCTCTAAACCAGATACAAACACAGTAAGTAACTTCAAAATTCCATATTTCACTGCTGTGACTCTGAGATATTAATGCCCACCACATTAAACACTTGCTTTATTCATGAAATCAACATGAGAACATATTTATCTTATCTGAGCACTAAATTACTTTTTTTCTTTACAAAGATTAGCCATAATTTTAGGTTCCTGCAAATCGCCCTCCTCAGTCACTAGTAATTAAATCGTTAATGGCAGTATGATAAATAGTAGGCTATTTTGATCACAAGGAGAAAAAAAGAGTATCTCCGTTATATAATTAAGTGTGAGAAAAAAAATAGCCTATCATTAGGCTTAAGTTTGGCTCATTATTTTTATCATTTGCCACCATCTTTCCCCATCACATTCACATTCTTCACTGCAGTGGTATGTGCCTCTGGCTAGGGGCCTCCTGATAAGTCTGACAGGAGTAGAATGTTCAGGACAGGAGCTCTGGATAAGGGTGAAGTATTTACTTCCTTTGTTCTACAGGCAAATAGTTCTGTCTTCAGTGTGGACTTCATTAGTTTCTTTGGTCTTTATTAGAAAGATAGAAACATCTATGTCATTAAATTCAGGTTGAATAAAAAAATTTAAAGGCAATTGCTTGTTGGCATTCATATGATAAAACCTACTAATGATTACAAATGCACACATACACACACATACATACATACACACACACTATTGCAGGACTTCAAATGGGTTTGGGAATGGTTTTTAATGAAATTGTATGGTTCCAAATAAATTGTTTTGTGTACTATGTCTGGTGATGTTACAATATGAAAGGCAAATGGAAAATTATGGTTTTCTATTTTAAAAATAAGAAGAATGTTACCTATTAGTAGCATTCATATGCAAAAAAACAGAAGTGTTAAAGGCAAAAGAAGCACAGCAATCGACAACATTAAACTGACATTAAATAAAAAGCATACTTTCTATTGCAACCATGTCTACATCTTCAAAGTGAAGGCTGGTCCATCATTGGATAGATTCTCCAGCTGTTTTCCTTCTCTCCTACTAATAGAACTCAGATAGATTCATGAGAGTAACCAGGCCTCTGTTAACTTAAAGGACAAACTGATCTAAAGCAAGCACGGCCGTACCATTCTATCTTGCCCAGGATTGACCTTGGGGGTGCTCAGCTCTGGCCATGAATCATTAGGGGAAGTCCTTCCAGCAAAGTGTCTGTTGTTTCTAGCAGGAGAGGAGAGACTTTGTGTGGTCCTTGGACACACAGGTGTCATATAATCTAACATCATAAGAGCAGAGACAATCATGCTATCACAGAATAATATATATTCCACCACACTGATGATGGCAGGACAGAAGAAAAAGATCCAGGAGCATAGCATCCACTGAACTGAAGCCATCAGCTCAGGCTACCTACCTCCAGCTTCCTATTTGGGAACAATTCCCTCCCCCAAATATCCATTTGTTAAGTCGCTGGAGTAGACTTTCCTGTTGCTCACAGCCATTCACACTCTTAAACAACAACACAACTCCATGTATTTTAAAAATTAAAAATGAACTAAATGGATGGATTTGTGATCAATAAGATGGCCCCTGACGTTTACTTTGTGCTTTGGCTCTACCCACTGTTCCCACAGTGTCGTCTCTACAGTTGAGTGCAATTAGTTCAATGTTGCTTCCTTCTCCCAGCCGAGATTAGCTAATGACTGAAGCTAGATGACAGATGAGAAATGTTTGAAGGTATTCTCCTCTTTCATGAGGCTTCGCAGACAGCATCTAGGAAGTCTTTTCATAATGAAATCATATCAACTAACTTTGGTAAACCCTGGGAGAAAGAAATGTGGCTCCATCCTTATTCGTTCACTGGACAGATCATGGCCAAGGTTACTCTCTCAAGGTTTTCTGATATGGTCTGAACTTTGTCTTGGGAGGGGTAGCCATGAAATTTGACATTTTCAGCACTGGGTGGATTTATCCACCACAAATAGTGTTCAGTTGCCTGGAAAATATCCCCACTGCTACATAAATAAATACCCTAAAAAGCTTTAAAAACAAAATATTGAGTCAGAGGCTGCACATAGATGCAGCTGGCTCTTTGTGCCTAATTTACAAAACACCTACAAAATGTTTCCATTGTATCCAATATCTTTTGTGAGAGATATCTCTCAAAAGATTACTAGATATATATACAATTTTCTAATTTGGGAAGGGGAAGGGAAATAACAAAATACTTAAATAAGGATACAGGATGACCCATTGTAACAATGAGATGTACAAGATAGTATGTTGAAAATGAACTTTACAACACTGGGAGGTGGGAAGGAAGGAGTTGGAGAAGTGGGGAGGAAAGGAATGGTAGGAGAAAAACAAAGGAGGAAGTAACAATGCTCAATAGGAAATGGACTCATTACCTTACTCATATCACTGTAACCCCTCTATACAGTATCTTTACAATAATAGATAAATAGATAGATAGATTACTAGATCCATGATTCTAGATGATCAATGGAGTGGACAGACTTAACTGACTTAAAAATTGAATCAGTATTTGACAAACAGGACTAAATATCACAGAGAATTTAATCAGGGAAATAAAAAGATATTAATATGTTAATCAACAAAACAAAACAAAAGCAGCTGTCTTGGAGGCTAGATCTCTTTCAGAGTTGAGAAGTGAGGAAGGGAGAGAGGAACCTATGGTGAATGATAACACAACACAACAAAGAGAGCTTTGTATGCAAGTCCTCATCCTCTCCCTACTGTGTTTGTCCAGGCTAGCTATGTAACCTCTCTGTGCCTCTGTCTTCTTCTAAAATGAGGAGAAACAGGAGAACCTACTTCAGAAGCTGTAATAACTGGCACATAATAAATACATCATAACTGAGAGTGACATTTTAGTTATTGTTGTCATTGTCATTTCACCACAATTGCAGTTTGCAAAGAACTTTCACATACGTTAAGTGGCTGATTCCGATTAGTAAGCAATGGCACAGAGAAATACCCATTCTGAAATTTATTTACATCACAATCAAGTATCAGGGAAGCAATATGATTCCCACCACCATCCTTTATCTCTGACAAACTGGGAAATAATCAAGAATCACGCTTAAAACATGATTGGATAGATGCAAGACTAAGTTACAGACTGAGTGGGTAAGAGCCACTACTAACTAGCATTGGTTGGACACTCACAATGTTCCCCAAAGTAAACTTGGCATTTTTGAGGTATAATTATTTGATCTATTATAAATATGAACTAGAAGAGTAGAGCTCAGCCAGATTAATCACCTTCCCTGGGTTAATGGCAAGTTGACTCAGGAAGGCTGATCCCACTACCTAGGATGGACTTCCATTGAAAATAAGCAAATCCTCGTATCACTTTGCTCACCAACAACTCAAACATCTAGGATTGTAGCAATCTCTCCAAAAAAAGACATAACATGTGTTCACTTTCAAGAAGTTGCCTGTAGTAACCAGCTGAGTTCTCATCCTTAAGTTGTAATACCATTCCTTGTACTTCTAGAATACTAAATTACATATCTACTATACATACATGTGCATGATTCTAGGATTTTCCTTATATGTAAATATAAACTAATCCCAGTAACTAAAATAAGTCACAATAAATATGGCCCTTTGCATCATTTAGATTTAAGGCTGTTAACTAACAGTTTTGCTATGTATAACTCCTAAATTGTAAACAAATGCTTTATGTATATAGACAGGTTCATTTTCTTGTTTGAAAAACAACTGTAGGGGCTGGGAAGATGGCTCAGTGATAGAGTGCTTGCCTTGCATGCATGAGGGCCTGGGTTCTATTCCTCAGCACCACATAAGCAGTAAAAGCCAGAAGTGGTTCTGTGGCTCAAATGGTAGAGTGCTAACCTTGAGTTGAAGAGCTAAGGGACAGGACAGAGTTCAGGCCCTACAACTGACAAAAAAAGAAAAGAAAAGAAAACGAAAAAGAAAAACAACTGTATTCATCATATTCTTCAACAGGTCTTCATATTTTAAAAAGCATTCATTTAGATAAAGATCCTTTATATTAAAAATCATTTAGGCCTCCCAAGACAAATTATATCATTATACTAATTTTGAAGTCTTTGGGGTTCCCAAATGAAATATGCTCTATAATTCAGTGCTTTATGATTTCATGCCAGAATGAAAGCAAAACTCCTGAGACAAGATTCTGGATTAAGAGGGAGAATATTTGTCCTAGCAAAAATTCCCTTAAAATGGCTGGACTTAGTTCTGTGATCTGGAAAATGATCGTATTTTAACAGATAATTTCCGCTCTAAGATTCTATTTTATAACCATTCCACACATGCAATTAAAAAAAGAGAGCCAAAAATGTCTTGAGCCACTTACATCACTAATAAGTTCAGTGCATTTTCTGGCCAGTTCCATGCTTAGGTCTTCAATAACAGGCTTAAAGCATATCTGTTCAGGGAAGAGGGAAAGAAAAAAAATGGAAGAGATCACTTTTTAAATTATCTGTCTCCAAGGCTGAATATGGCTCTTGAGTAGGTTCTTTCTCACTCACCTTTTCCTCTTCATTTTCTTCTTCTGCTGCTTTGTCCTGTCCAATTTCATCTTTCACATCCTCCAACACAGGATCCCTCATTTTTCCTCTGTCAAAAAATTAGTATTTTTAAACTTCCCTGGTGTAGTGTCTTTATATGGACCACAGTGCCCTTCAGCTATGAGTCTCTGGGGCCTGGGCAGCAGTGTCCTTGCCAGGTTTCCGGTCTGCTGGGCTCTCACTTGACTCTCCTTATCTCAATGGTGTGTGAGATAACAGAACAGGACTCAGAATAGGACCCAGGCCTTGGACTGGGTCAGTCTCCCAAAAGGAAGTAACATTTTTTCAGACAAAAGTCAATTTGACAAACTTCTAAAGTCAACATTCTTTAAACTGGTTAAGAAACCCCAAAGAGAAAGTTAATCTTTCACTAGTTCAATTCATTCATAAAATAGTTTTAGAAGAACATAAGGAGTCTAGGGAAAGTACTCAGCTTTAACACTCCAGATACCACATACCCAGGCCTGTTATCTCAAAGATGCCTCCAGCAGGTCTAAATAAAGCTTTCCCTGGAATGCCAGAGAGAGCCCTGAATCCACACAGAGAATCTGAATCATTCAAACTCCTATTACTAATCTAAGTTAAATATTTTATGAGACATATATGTACTTCCCACATCCTAAAAAATATACATTTATATTAGCCAGGCTAGAAATTCATTATGAAAAGCCCTGTAAACCACTTCAAAGAATCTACTGAGTCAATTGTGACTGTTCATCTTATATTAGGGAGCATTATATTTTACTAATGGTAAAAATCATTAACAATGAGAAGTTGCAGCTAACATGCTGATTTATCATTTAAGAATTCTAGAAACATGCAGGGGGGAAGAGCACGGGGAGGGGAGGAAGGGGGAAGATGGGAAGGGATGGGAAGGGGAAACAAAGGAGGAGGCAACAATGCTTGATAAGAAATGTACTCATTACCTTGCTCATGTAATTGTAACCCCTCTGTATGGTATTTCCACAAAAAAAAACAACAGACTAAACCTACCTGTAAAATAAAACCTTGTGCCTCAATCCTAAAAAAAATAAAAAATAAAAATAATTGGATTTACATTTGTGAGCAATGAACAATTAAGAACAATGTAGGGAGTAAGTTCTGTTTATACTAATATAAAAATAAATTCTAGAAACAGTATTGTTCAAAAAGTAATCATTCTCTTAGAATTCTGCTCATTGTGTCAATTTTTATGAATTCCCTAGTTATTTGTACATTCTTCAAATGTATACCACAAACTCGAAAAAAATCAGAAAAATAAGCTGCTACGATATTTATTCTGTGGTATGGATTCACAGTTACATAAAACTAAAAGCTTATATCTCACAACAAATCCTTGGTTATCAATTTAGGTAATACCAAGACTCTATGTATTTCACAAATTATTACCTTGGCTGCTTAAATCTAAGAGTAAATCTACTTTTACAAAACTATAGTGTATCAGTGTTAAACCTAAAAAATATACTCCATGGTGAAGAATGAAACTAATTATATAAAATACACTTTGATTCAAAAATAACACATCATTTTCAGTAGCCAAGTATAATGTGGTTTTCTCTTCATATTAGATCCAGTTTTCAATTTGTTAAAGGAAAATTGACTTGACCTCACTTAAATTGAAAATTCTGACAAGAAAAACATTCCACATAATCATTATAAATACTCTTTCTCAAATTGTATTCCAATATAGTTTTTGAGTCAGAATTTCTATGAAATATCTGCTGGGGAAAAAGCAAGTTTCTCAAGCAAGTCTATTTGGGAAACCTGTATAATAATCTCTACCTCTGCCAATCACATACTATGTAAAATACAGGTTAGATAGATAGATCAATAGTTCTGAGAAGACCCTTAACCAAAAGAAAGCCTATTTTAGTTTACTTAACCTACCATTTACCAAATACAAATCGTATCCATCTCATCTTATTTACTTCCATCTTTCTACCGCTGAGGCTTTTTTATAGGAAGGAATTGGGCTAGCTGTGTTTCACTTTGTTTTGTTTTGTGATAGGGTTTCCCTGTGTGGCCCAGAGTGTCCCGAAACTCACGATCCACCTCCCAATTTCTGGGATTACAAGAATGAATCACCACACCTAGACTTCTACCATTGTTTTGGGATGATACCAGTGATTCCAGAAAACTGGCATTTTTCTGTGAAGTATTATACAGGGAAACACTGCTCTATTCTGGCAGTGTTCTAAGGGTCTTATGGTCACAAAATAGATTGTGATGCAGGTTAAATTAATGGCATCACATATCTTGTTTACTGCAAATAGCCAAGAAGAAATTGTCCCGAGCTTGCTGAATTTTGGAAACCTCAAAATCACAAACATATCATGCCTGCCTGGTACAGCTCAGTCCACAAGGAAATTCTTTGTGCATTATACTTGTCCCACGAGGAGAAGAATGGTTGAAGTCTTATTTCTGCTCCCCTCATATCCTCTGCCAAAAGATGATTCTAAGATTCTAGACAGAATGTATGACGTTACCTTTAGGGAGGAAAGAATTCCTAGGAATATTCCTAGAATATTTTCTACACAAGCTTCTAGAAATCTGCAGGAAAATCTTGCCAAAGCCACCTATGACACATCTTTCTTGGATCCAATTTGAGATGGTAAGACTTGTGTTACTTAGGTTGATGTATCTTCCCCCATTGTAAATGGGTGATCTGTATTGGACATCTATCTGTACATGCCCCACCAGGCTGTGTGGCAAGAAAGCAATATATAAGGCACAAACGCTGTAAAAGCCAAATTCACCATCATAGGCAGTGTTTTAAAAACTTCAGACTTTCCATTTAGGATTTGAGAAGCAGAATTTCAAAGCCCAAGTGACCCACAGGAAGTCAACACACACAAAGCCCTCCTCTTTCACTGAGGATGAAATGAACACCCCGAGAAATTGACTAGCCATCTCATTTGGGAATGTCAAAGAGCAAGACCTAAGTGGAAAGCCCAGCTTGATCAACAAGGAAGTGCTGCACACTGGGTACTATGCTTGGCATTAGAAACAATGGTGAGTAAAATGTACTTTGTGCCAAGATTAGGAAGGAAATTAAAAACAAAAAAAACAAACAAAAAAAAACCTTGCTAGGTGAACACTTTAATGGATTGTCTGGCAAGCCACACACAGATTACTTTTGATTGAATGCATCTTTCTGTTTTCCTTCCACCTATGAATATAGTTACAAAATTCATATCAAATTTCTCTAAAAATTGTAAACCCCGCACTTTATCACAGCTAAGCTCTCTTGTCAATATGCCATAATCTGACCAGGTAATAAGAAAAGAAAAGGGGTTCTTCATGGATAGCTACCGTGTTTCAAAGTCTTTCGTATCTCTTCTTAATAAACCAGGTTTAATGTATTCTAATGTATATTTTCACCTTGGACCATCTCATGGGGAGTATCTGGGTAATTACTAAATCCTTGTTACTTACTGAGCACTTCACTTACATTGCCTACGTTTTGGCTTTGGTCCTCTTCCCATGCCATGACATAAACTATGACCAAGATGGTGGTCACATTAGTGATAGTCACTCAACCTTCTGGTCTAGCTCTACCATACCCACTAGGACAAAGTATTTAATCCCTTTTCCCCTCTAACTCTGCATAAAAGAAAAACTGCATTGCCAAGTGTGTAAAAGGAAAAGCTGAAACCATTTTACTGGTACCCAGTAAAGATACACAGTTAAAAGAAAAGCATTTGAATTATAAGGATCTTGTCATTTGAAAGGTGAGACTCTATGCCATCAATATCGTTTCAAATCAAGAAAGGGCCTCCCAAATTGAGTAAGCTAGAGATAAAAACCAACGTGTATTTACAATACAGAAGTCTAGTGGTCTTTGTATAGTTTGTGGACAAATAGCAACTGCCAAGTAGGTACTGACAGTCTCTGGAGGCATGTCCCTGGCCAAGAGAACTCATGTTTATGGAACTCATGTGTTCCACTGCTACAAGTCACATAGTATATGACTCTTTCCAGTGTCCTTAGGGTCACAGTGACCATTATCTCTTGGTTGTTTACTAATGTTCAATACCTATTTCATTTCTTCCTCCTTTCTTTTCTTCTTAGTGATAGACTGTGTGTTTGTCCCTGACATAATGACAAGTGACTTCCAAATAAAAATCCAGAATAGATCAACAGGATACAGTTCTGAGTTAATAAAACATCCATCAAATGTCACTCTAAAATATAGCACCTGGTTATGAAGATTGTATTAAACAGACGTGTATCAGTTGATATTAGAAAAGGTTCTTCTCTAGAGCTCCTTTATATCTACTCCAAGACTGAATCTGCCAATAGGGAACATAATTGTCTTCTACCCTCTGCTATTTCAACAACCAAGGAGGAGTAAACTCATATCACAGAAGAGAATGAAAGTCAAACATCACACCAGAGTGTACACAAACTTGGTTCCTGGCTATTATCTGACTGGAAGTCACTCTTCTCCCCTAAAAATTATTTACTCCTATACCTCCCTCCTTCCTGTCCCCAGCCTCAGGAATGGGTCATATAAGCTTTGAACTCTCTCTGGGTCACTAGTTCTCTCTCTCTCCCTGGCTCCCTCCCGCCCCCCCCCTCAAACGCAGAATAAATTTATGTACCTTTTCTCCTGATAGTCTGCCTATTGTCATTCTATTTCAGCACCTGATGATCAAAATTTCAGGGAGACTGGAAGAAGTTCCTTCTGCCCCAATAAGAATAACTTAGAGACAAACATTTCATTTCATTTTTTAAAAAATTAATTCAATATTTCTTTTGATAAAATATTTATCCAAAGTATTTAAGAGAGGATTGTTTTAACAGATTCATTTTCCTGCTTTGACAATTTTTTTTCACATTCATTTGTAGCTATCTGGCTATTTGATGACTTTGTCCTAGAAATTTCTTGCTTCTCAGTTGAATTTCTGGTTATTTTTACCTTTGCCTCATATGTTTATAAATCATTTGGCACCCACCCAAAAGGCAAATTTACTAATAGTTGGAAAAAGGGGAAGGGAGAAGAAACAGGAAACATAATCACAATAGAGCAACTTGTCCTG